TGTAATTCAATGTTTATATGAAAGTAGCTGTTTCAGGAGGACTTTCTTTCAGTTTGTGTCTGAAAGGTACTTCTTTGCATGATCTACACATTCATGTATAGAGTTTCAAATTGATTACTTCCTTCCTTTCTTTGGAAGATTCTCTCATCCCTTTTTTTTTGTATCAGATGGAGTAGTAGAAAGCCAAAAACTTTCTTTCTCAAAAAACTTTTAACAATAGTGTTAAAAATACGTTTAACGCACTACTTTGTAAACACCATCTTTTAATACTCTTGACAACCATTAAAAGTTTCACTTTTAATGACAGTTGTACAAAAATAAAATTATATCCCACTCTTACACATAAACCATAAATCCATCCGAGCAACTACCATTCGGCCCAGAGAACATCCCCAACAGAGTTAAAAATACTCATAAATTCCGGCACATTTTCAGGTAATACACGGCCCATATATACCAGCAAGACTTTTCGACTAATCCTCCTCGAAACCGAAACTTCCTCAAAGGGCGCTCTCTCCGATGACCTGCGATAAGTGCACTTACCTGAAAGCCGTCGTAAGTCCAAGATCCGAACTTCATGACGCAAGTTTGTTCGTCGAACGGGAAGTATTCGACATCGATTTCGCAGGAAGACTTGTAAATGGCGGGCGGCTTCCAATCAACCCGGCCCGTGTAATTTAGGGTGGCTTTCGTGGCCAATGTCACCTCGAAATTGCCGTCGGCACTGAAACACACAGAAAGACGAGCATACTAATGGCGCTTTATGGCGGTTTTTTATCCTTTCGAATGAGTTGCGGGAGAGTGAAGGCTCAGGAGGAGAATTTGACGTAAAACTAGCCCTGAGCATGGTCGGAAACACGAAAGAAATGAATAATTTAGAGAGAGTATTGCATTTCTGGTGATGAGGAAAAGTGCTTGTATTGGATTTATTTTACACTAGAGGTTCTGGTATCACCTTTAATGAGGTGCTGGATGTTTGTGTTTCTGTACCTTCATAAAAATATGGTATTGATAAGGTTGAAAGTAGAATTTGGTAAACGGTTGGAGAAAGGTAACTACAGTGGCTTCACTTTTCAAGAAATATTTCATTTCAGAATGACATTGTGAGAAACAGGTTTTTTACCCGCTCATTACTAATTTCTCACCACTATCAACAAATATGATGTGCCTTTGATGTGGTAATCGTTCACCACTAATTGTTATCCGTTCAGATTCATAACTGAAATGGATTTCACATACAGGAGGCGTCACTGTGAACTACATTTTCAAGATCGTTTTTACAACGAATACAATCTATTATAAAATATTTGAGTTCAATGTAATATAACTTACATACGAAGGCACTGAAGAATGACAGTTTACACTAGCTTTCAGCCATAATCGAATGTTAAAACTGTCGATTATCTATAAATGAGAGAGAAAACTGATTATTTTGCTAAACTGGATAATCCTTACTTACATTAGATTCGAGCGAATCAATCAAATTACCTTTTAGTTAATGTTTAAACTGTCGTTATAAACTGTATCTGTATCTGTAGAGTAGGGAAGGTGAGTGTAAGCCCACGCACTTAGGCAACATGTGTCCCATTGTACATCCTCACGAGGAGTTGTCCTCCTAGGTCGTCGTCCATCCTGTCCTTTCCAGGATCAGCCAGTTCTGTTTGGACCACGCTGGTATTTCTTCCCATTCCCCACTTAATCCTTAGGCTTAGTGATCTGGAGTACACTCCACATCCTGAGCCTTCTTTGGTTTTTGAGCCATCTGTATAAATCCGTATTGCATTTATAACATCTGACTCTGTGTTCTGCTTGATTTGTATTTTGTAGGGTTTATTAAACACAAACCTGGGTCGTTATAAGCTATAACTGACGGATTGAACTGTCAAAGTATTCAGCCAAATTCGGTTTAATTGCTGTTAAACTACCTTCCGGCCATAATCGATTGTTTGAACAGTTGATTATCTACAGACGGCAGATTAAACTGATTACTTAAGTGCAACTCGATAATTCAAACTATAGATTAGCTCTGAACGACTGGAAAAACTGCCTTTCAGTCACTGTTTAAACTGTACTGTTGATTAACGTTATTGAATTGACAAATATTTAGCCAAATTCAGTTAAACTGCTGTTAAACTACCTTTTAGCCATAATCGATTGTTTGAACTGTCGATTATCTATAAATGGCAAATTGAACTCATTATTTAGCTAAACTCGATAATTCAAACTACAGTAGACTATCTCTAAGCGATTGTAAAAACTGCCTTTCAGTCACTGTTTAAACTATCGATTGACGTATTGAACTGTTAAATATTTAGCCAAATTCAGTTAAACTGCTGTTAAACTACCTCTTAGCCATAATCGATTGTTTGAATTGTCGATTATCTATGAACGGCACATTATACTGATTAATTAGATAAAATCAATAATTCAAACTGTAGATTATCTAAAAGCGTTTGGAAAAACTGCCTTTCAGTCACCGTTCAAATTGTCGATTAGCTATAATTGATAGATTCAACTGTCAATTATTGTGCCAAAAGCAGCAGTTTTAACTGAAGATTATCAATCAGTGACAGTTCAAATTACCTTTCAGCCATAATTATCTATCTAAAGTGATGTCAATTATCCATAAACGACTGATTCAACTGTAAATTATTTAGTCAAACTCCATAATTGAAATTGTCGGTTAGCTCTAAGCAGCAGCTCAAGTTACCTTCCAACCGCTGTTTAAACTGTCTATAATTTTTACGCTATAGTTTAAATTTTAAACGACATATAAAACTTTCAATAATTTTACCTAAATCTGCAGTTCAAACTGTGTATTATCTACAAACGCCAGTTCAAACAACCTTGCAGGGGTAATCGAGTGTATATATAGTCGATTATAAATAAATTATAGTTCAAACTGATATACAAAGTCAACAGATATTGATATATAATTCAAACGGTTACTGTCTGTTATATACAGTTAAAACTGTACCATCATCGGCAGTTTTAACTGTCTACTATTTGGTCAAAATCCACAGTTCAAAATGTTTCGATAGTATAAATTTTAGATTCTGTAGCCATTCTCTGATTGTAATGGCCCCAACGCTCTATTGGCGAAGAGTTGTAGCAAAACCTAGTAACCAAACATCCTCATTGCGGTAATACTCCAGACGTATCACAATATTCACTCAGTTCTAATGTCACAAATTTAATATTACCCGTCCGGAACAAACGATGCGCGGGAATTCGCGATGTTTCCTGACACCGAGTGTTCCTTTTCGTGACGGCAGCTTGAAGCTTCACGCTTCCCAACTTTCTGGAACAACTTTTGACGTTCGACTGGCGAGTAATTTACCGCCCTTTCTGAATCCTTGATGAATTTTTACTTGATTACGTTATAATTTGCATCTTGCATTTAGAGGATTCGTTTCGTTAAATTCGAGGCAATGGAAAACAAGTTTTCAATACATTCAGGGCTTCAGTTTATTTTATGGAATGCACGCCCGGTTTGGTGGAGGAAATTACACGGTGCGGGAGTGGGGTACTAGTCGGAAGTTTACATTACCGTGAAGGATCAAAAATAAACTGCATAAGTTGGAATTTTAATTTGGTTGCAGGTGGTCAGGTAGCAGGTAGGCCGATGCCGAGAGGAATTTGTAATAACAAAGGTTTTGTCTGCTACTGCAGCAGATTTTTTCAACTCCGCAAAGACTCATAGTCGAGAAAAGTACGCTGTCTGTTCAAAAAATAAGGGGAATTTCAATTTTTTCCAAAAAGCAATACAAAAGTTACACATTAATTAAAAACAATGAATTTTCAATAGGGTGAATTATAATTTTTTCCAAAAACTAGCTATTAATTAATCAATTTCTATTTTGTCCCCTTCAAAGTAGTCCCTCGTAGATATCACACACTTGTGCCAGTGTTTTTTCCAACTCTCGAAACAGTTTTGATATGCACTTCTTGGTATGTCTTTGAGGTCTCTCAGCGATGATGGCTTTATCTCCTGAAACGCCGTCCTTTCATGGGTCTCTTCAATCTTGGGAACGGGAAAAAGTCGCAGGAGACCAACTCTTGAGAATATGTTGACTGAACCATGATTACAGTGTTATTTTTGGTCAAAAAATTACGAACAAGCAATGACGAGTGAACAGATGCGTTATCGCGATGCAAAAGTCATGAATTGTTTTTCCACAATACCGGACGATATCTTCTTATTTATTCTCGCAAACGTGGCATAACTTCAAGAAAATACTCCTTATCGACTGTACGACCAGGTGGTAAGAACTCCTGATCACTACGCTACGGTAATCGAAGAGCAGTGAGCAAAATCTTGACATTTGATCGAAATTGTCGTGCTTTTTGTGATCTTGTCTCTCCTAGGCTCTTCCATTGGGATGATTGGGCTTTGGTCTGATGTCATAACCATATATCCATGATTCATCACCTATTATGACCCTTTGAAATGAATTGGGATCGTCGTTGATGTCATTCAACAATTCCTGAGCGATGCATATGCGACGGTTTTTTTTGGTAAAAATTAAGCATTTTTGTAAGGAACTTCGCTGCCACACGCTTCACGTTGAAAACTTCTGAAAAACTTGCAAGGCATGAGCCGACCAATATGCCGACATACTCAGCAACTTCTCCAATAGTGATTCGACGGTTCTCCATAATATTTTTCTTCACTTTCTCAACATTTTCATCGGTTGTTGATGTGCTGTGGCCTCCAGGGCGAGCGTCGTCACTCAAATCTTCTCGATCTTCTGTGGAAAGCTTGTACCACTTGTAAACATTTTTATGAGTACAGTCACCGTATGCCACTGTCAATATTTCAAGTGTTTTTTGAGCACCGAATTCCATTTTTTACACAAAATTTTATGCAAAAGCCCTGATCCATTTTTTTCAATAGCAGAAAATAGCCACGCAACACACTTCTAACCTACTGGACATGCTAAACAGCTAAAATTGTGAACACGTGTTCGAGACAAGTATATCAACATAAAACATCGCTAATCGAAATGTACGTAGCCCGCGAAATTTGATTATTCACCTTATTTTTTGAACAGTTTTCGTATGTGGGAACAGTCCACTAGAAACCAAAGTTATATAAAGAATTTTTGAGAAAATGAAGAATAATTTCAAATTAACGGTAAGACTATGTGTTCAACTTGCTAATAAAAACAGTTGCAAGTGATTTTAATTTTCATATGAGCTATCCTAAACTACTCAAGTTGAGACCCGGTTTGAAACCCGTTACAAACGTTAATATTTGTGTTCAAAAACTTCTTCCCTCTGATTTTTCCCAGCACGACAAATATTTTTCTATACTTACTTGTTGTAAAGGACAATGTCGGGTCTCCAAATATGATCTGATGGTACGTGGAGCATCTCAACTCCTCCATAGTCTTTCGGGTCCCATTTGAGCTTATAGTCGTACCAGGCCTAGAAAAAAAACATTTCTTGAATATAAAAGAATGTTTTTACAAATGACTATCAGATGGCGCTATTGAAATCAAGCACAGCTCAGAAACAGATAGATAGAAAGATAAGCTTTATTGTCTAAAATGGTAACATATAATTACATATAAATAGTACATACTTGTTAAAACCTAATAGAAAGATAACAAATAAAATTTCTAGTTAAAAAACAAAAACATATCCATCCAACATTAGATTAAAAAAATATCAATTGAGAAATATCATGGAAAGACTGCAATTCAAATGAAACATATTCCTCAATACTGTAGAGGCCTTTTTCCGCTAAGGAATTCTAACAGACCTTTTGGATTTTTCTTCGAGTATTTCATAACTGTTTGGATTGGCAAGTGGTTATAAAATTGTTTGCTGCGATATATCGCAGCAATATCGATGAACCAGGTAGGTGCTTGACGAGCATTCCTTATTTTGTTCATTCTTAAATTTATTTTTATATTTATTCAACGAGCGAGGAATGTGGCCATCACTCGTGAGAATGAAGTTTGTCGGCGCCACCCGAAGACGAGAGTCTTAATCATTTGAGTGAATAATGACTAGATATTGCAAGTATAATAATATACTTTTTCTATGACTTATATCAGGAATTTTTCAAATTTATATTAATTTGTGAAGAATACTCCGAATGAAAGTAATATCATTAGTTGAAGTATTTGTGTATTTAAAGTGAAATAAAGTTGAATTTGATTATTCAGTGTAGTCAATTATTGGTCAACACACGGGTAAAAACGTAACAATATTAATTTGACATGAAAATTATTGCATTTCCAACTATTCTCATTTTGTTATTAACTCGATGACTAACTGCATCGAGGAGGGATACATACGTACTAGAAAATAAATACTTCAAAGTAAAATCTAGAAATATCAACTTTCCCAACTACCTACACCGTAGGTTCTGGTAAATACCTGCCAGAAAACAACTACTCCAACTACTCTCCCGGTTAACATCACGTTGGGTAACGAATTATACCCGACAGAAATTTATGCAAGATACCTCGCAGATGTTTTTCATTCATCCAGCAACAAAAACGCCGAAACCCTTGTTTTTATTGATTAAAAAGTAATATAAATATCTAATTCCATCTAATTCCATTTCGATATTGACTGGATTTCCCAAGTAACTATAACTATTATCAAATAATTTTAAAGAGAATTGTTTTCGAAATATATTTCAAATTGCAGGCCATATAATAGGATTTGGTATTGGTAACTTTAATATTTCAAGTTTCAAAATTGCAGTTTAATCTGATCAGAAACACTCCCATCGCATGAAAAATGCAACACCGCTAACTCAACCCCCTTCCCATTTTCACCAGCTTATATAAGAAAAAATAATAGCCTTCTCAGTATGTTCGTTATGTGGCCTCTTACTCTCGGTTATTCTCTCTCTCTAGCGCTTTCATAAATTGCGATACCATGTTTCGGCAGAACTCTAGAATTTTATACAGCACGTTAGTGAAATTTATTTCCAAAACAAAGCTTGAAGTTGTGGTGGGTTATGTATAGTTATGGTGTTACAGAGGACGAAAATTGGATTTTTGTAGGGTGGAAAAGAAAAGTGAACAAGTTTGCATAGACGTGTTCATTTCAGAGTATAGTCCGAGAGGAGGAGGGGATTCTCGACAAAATGGAGCTGAAAGTTCCTGTAGAAAATGAGTTTTTTGATTGTGCAATTGTTCGTGCAGAAACGATTATTTTGTTTATTCCTGTTCAAATAATGCAAACCATTGAATGAAGTTCACGGACAGTTTTGAATATAACAGTCAGGATCTAGAGGGATTTTAGTCCAATTTCACTGAAGGTAAAATACGGCGATACTGTATGATTTAGCCAAAAAGCACCGATTTGCATAAACATTTCGATACAAATTCTATTTTCCCTCTACTGCAAATTTGATTATGTACCGGATGAAAAATGTTTCACTAAAAATAAATTCAAAAATGGATGAATTGACGAAATATGAGTAATTTTTGTTAAATAAAGTTTTTTTTCTGAAAGCTATAATTTTCGAATTATTCGCAAGTGTACAATCAAAGTTATAGTCCTTTGAAAGTTGGTTTTTAATCGTCAAAAGTCACAATTGAGAATTTCATCGTGAAGTAACCAAAAAACAAAACATTTTTATGGAACGCTCAAAGAGTCTTTTTTGACGTGTGTGAAAAATAACTTCACCTTTGATTTGAAAGGGTTATATTTTTAGGAGTGATTAATTTTTTTGGGAAAGAAAGTTTTTGGCTTTCTACTACTCCATCTGATACAAAAAAAATGGATGAGAGAATCTTCCAAAGAAAGGAAGATTTGGAAGATTCTCTCATCCATTTTTTTGTATCAGATGGAGTAGTAGAAAGCCAAAAACTTTCTTTCCCAAAAAAATANGCGTGTCCTGAATTTCACCAAAATCGCTTATGAGCGGAGAGGAATATGTTCTCTTTGATGAATAGGAGGAAACGAAGTCACACCTTTGAAGTAATTTTTTCATATAACAAACTAAGTGAATTGATTTGTATTCAATATTTCAAAATAAAATATTCACAAAGATGTCTAGATCATGCATAGAAGTTACTTTCATTTCATTTCTCAATTAATGTCTATTCTGTACCTCTCAAATTGAACTATAAAGCAGTACTTCTTACTCGAAACTATTCCTCCTCATTACATTACATTATCAATCTGTTTGCAAAGAGTACTTAGTTAATCGTACTATAATCTAATTTGGGGAATAACAAATTATTTGGCGGATTTTTGCTTCCAATATTTAGAGTCTGCAGATACAACCACCTTTTTCATGAAGGTGAACCAACTTGAAATAATCGAGACTGTCTACGCAAAATGATGCACTGCGAATAGTATTACTTCTGGCGAAGATTAGATTAGGAACAAAACAATGGATTCACTTGGGTCAAATGTGTAGATCAAATACTGAGAGTTGATAATGGCAGAACACTTTCCTAGGGAGTGTCAAAATCTAATCCACAACAGGAAATTTGTCGAAATTTCAATAGCGAGCTTCCAAGATACATTAAACTAGACAAGTTCCAATGAACACCTTCGGTTTCTATATTCTTCGATAGTAATGTCGATTATTGAATTATTGATTTCATGAATTTTTTCAGCATGTTTCAGAACATTCTAAATTGATCTTTCTATACCAATCTACCAAAAGAGGAATTCTAATTGAGTCTCAACAAGAAATCAGACCACATCAGGAAATATCTCCAGAAAAATGGTAACTACAAGTAGCTGGTGGCACAGACTTTGTTTAGAAGTCAGAAGACAAGAGCTCCTTCAAGGAAGAACCAGTGCTATCCATTTCTTATGTCAGAGGACTCTCGAAGATGATAAAAATAATTTGGTCCAAGTATAGGACATCAACCACGTTTTGCGATGCGGGCATTACACAAAATTTTACACACATATATCAGATAACATGTGTGTGCAACTGAGAGGCCGTTGAAAGACGGCAATGCGAGCACAAGAAGAGAAAGTAGCAAATTGGTAATAGAGGAGCAGGTTTGGACTCTTCAACATAACATTAAGTGGCCTGAAGTAGAGATCTGGTTCAAGTATAAGATTAAAGAAGCTGCATATATATTGACCTACGTGCATTCAGCCAAGCTAGTGTGGAGACATGCAACATATGGAAACCACTAATCAAGCGGGAAAACAGTATACATATGGATACCAATATGTCTTGGCACAATCATGTCGCTGGAATTGCAAAGGCTGCTTATCATAAGTTTGGTACACTGTTCTGAATCAGAGAACTGTACACACCTCAGCAACTTTTGATGCTTTATAAAGCTCAGATCAGACCTTTTTCAGAGTATCGATCTCATGTATATAGCTCTGCCTCCAAAGATACCCAGAAAAGAGCCATCCGCCTGATTGAAGACGATAACATCACGTGCAACCTTGATAGCCTGGAACATCGAAGACAGGTTGGAAATTTGTCTCTCTTCTATAGATACTTTCACGCGAGGTGTAAAAGTGACTTGACATATTTGATTCCACCAAGAGCGGTATATATCAGAAATACGAGACGGACTGTGGCTGCTCATCGTTTTGAGGTTCAACTCAGTATACTTCGAACTTCACTGTTTAAGAACTCTTTCATCTGGAGAACTGTTTATGTGGAATAAATCCGTTTGGAAACGTTCTTCCAAACGGATTTGATCACCAGCGATTTAAATCCAATGTGAATCGCTACTTTCGTACAGGCACCGCTCTGAGAGCGCCTTAAAAATGTTCCTGTAGTGCTTGTGTTTTGTCCTTAAAAAAGGGGGGGGGAAGGTGAAATCACCCAAGGGAAACATCATGAAGACCCCGATTAAAAGTCATATTGTTATTTGAAATTTTTTCAATATTTATCTTGAATACTTCACTTCATAGTATTGTCATTTAATTTTTCCATTGATTTTCTATAAATGACCGTTCACTTATTGTTTAATCCATTACCATTTCTTTTTTTTGTTTCATAACGAATAAGGTTCTTCACTTTTTATTTTGTACATAAATTATTCGGATTTGTAGGTTTCATTTTTTCGCAGATGATACAATATTGTATTTGGAAGGACTAAAATTTTGGAAATGATGAATCAAAATAAACTGGAAATGAACATCAGCAAAACAAAGCATATGATCTTGTGATGCACTGTTTGGAACCTTTGGTGTAGTAATGAATATTACTGGAGTTTTTCCCTACACCAAATCGTCATTTTCAACACCTCTACACGTGTTTCGATCACCAAGTGATCATCTTCAAGAGGAAGATTAAACTTACCTCACTTCACTTACCTCACTTCACTTACCTCACTTCACTTTTTGGTGTATTATTTTGTACATATTCTCCCAAAGTGTTTCTTCGTTCGAGTTGAAGTTTCACAAAATTGGGAAAAGTTTTACAAAATCGAGATGAGATAACTACTATATACAACTTACTCAATCGA